ATCGAATGTTTTCTGAACCATTCAAATCGGTTGATCCGTGCGCCCGAAAACGTGACTGGAAATTTATATCCATACATACATACACACACACACACATCCATGTATAGGTATGCCAAAATGTTCAGAAACCTTCAAAACGTCGAGAAATGTAAAAAATTTCAATTTCGATTTTCGGCCCATTACAATAACTTACCCTACAGGAAGTTAATAATATTTATTATATTATTATTAACTAAGTTGTCAATTAATTTACTTTATCTATTTTAAATCATTATTTTCTGAAATGTATGTCGATATAAATTAAATTTATTACATTCAATTATCGAAATAATAACACAAAAATATTATATTTTGATATAAAATATTATAAACTGATTATATTTAATATATTTTTATAATAAACGGTTCAATATTTGTATAAAATCCGTTAAGCAATCCGTTTTTTGTGTCCAAAACTTTGAAACTATGATTGGCAATTAGTTTATGATTAATTATAAGTTTATTTAATCGCAAAAAATAAATATGTAAAATTACCATTTTAATGTAATTATTAATTAGACAAATCAATAAGCCGTTTAATATTTGTATAAAATCCGTTAAACTTTAAAAGTACAAAGTAAATATTTACCATTAGTGCACAAAGTATTGCCCAAAAATGTTGCAATTTTAGCATTTTATACATTCATATGTCCATTATAACTACGAACACTAAAACTGATGTCTTTATATAATCATTGATGAGTGAATTATAAGTATACTGAGTTGCTATTATAGTGTTAGAAGTAACTATTAGAGATTATTTAAAAAAAGACCGATATTCAAAATTGTTTTAGTATTCGTATTCTATTCGAAAAGACCTTTTAAACGATACCCCATATGCCACAAAAACACAATCTGAAATTTTTGAAGTAAAACTTCATTAGACTTAAATTTTAAATTACTGAGTATAAAGGGTATATTATTTAGGACAAATTGCGTAAACTTTCCAGTACAAGTTCGAACTTTACTATTTGATATTTAGCAGTCATTTTTATTTTTTTATGATCTGCCAAATACAAATCCTAGACCTAGAATTTATGTTTATTTATGCCCTAAAATATGTACTAATATGATTATTGGTCTCTACCTTGTAAAGGATATGAGACTCCAAAAAATGGGTATTTAAGCATACCCTGACATCTAGCATTTATATATATACATATATATAATTATAAACTGAAAAATTCCGGCATTAAGTAAATTAAAGGCAGTACTCTGCGGCGCGAGTTAAGATGAATATTAAGTTAATATGCACGTTCTGTGGTGTTTCGTTGGGAGCTACTGATTGCAGTTTACGTCCAGACTTAAATGAAATACATTTTTAGAACACGAGTTGCGTAAACTATCCAGTATGTGGAAATAACAGGCTTAATCAATTATTAATTAATTATTAATTAATTAATCAATATATAATTATTTATGATTTATGTTTATTTCAAGTACACTGGAGTTGCTATTATAGTGTTAGAAGTATAATATTCAAAATTGTTTTAGTATTCGTATTCTATTCGAAAAGACCTTTTAAACGATACCCCATATGTCACAAAAACACAATCTGAAATTTTTGAAGTAAAACTTCATTAGACTCGAATTTTAAATTACTAAGTATAAAGGGTATATTATTTAGGACAAATTGCGTAAACTTTTCAGTACAAGTTCGAACTTTACTATTTGATATTTAGCAGTCATTTTTATTTTTTATGATCTGCCAAATACAAATCCTAGACCTAGACTTTATGTTTATTTATGCCCTAGACAATATATTGTCTGTTGTATGTACTATTGTATGTACTGATATGATTATTGGTCTCTACCTTGTAAAGGATATGAGACTCCAAAAATTGGGTATTTAACAATACCCTTTTCAGTCATCTAGTATATATATATAATTATAAACTGAAAAATTCCGGCATTGTAAATTAAAGGCAGTACTCTGCGGCGCGAGTTAAAATGAATACAAAGTTATAATATGCACGTTCTGTGGTGTTTCGTTGGGAGCTACCGATTGCAGTTTACACGTCCAGACTTAAATAAAATACATTTTTAGAATATCGGTTGCGTAAACTTTCCAATATGTGGAAATAACAAGCTTAATCAAAAAAATATATACTAGATGACCCGACAGACATTGTCCTGTACCCACATCCAGTGGCGTCGGAACCGTGTGGCTTGAGCCCACCCATCAATTTCAAAAAATTATATGGGCTAATATCTCTAAAAAAAACGAACCCACTGGCTGTCCATCAAAAAAAAAACGAGCCCACCCATCAAAAATTTGGTTCCGACGCCACTGCCCACATCTATACGTTTTTTTTGATATCCTATACTAATATTTATACCGTTCAGTTAAAAATAATCATTATTGTTTTTCGAATTACTATTTACACCAATATATAAGTGATGTTGAAAATAGAACTGTTTCAAATAAAAAGATTATTCTCATGAGCAATTCCCACAGTTAACTCTTTAATTATCCCTTTAACAAATATTAAAATATGTTCAATAAAATTGTATTTTAAAAATTACATACTGCAAATTTATTTCCAATAGCTCAATTTATTTTAATGGCAAGGGTTACAAAATTTTTCAGTCATACCTGTAGATGTGAATGTGTAAATAAATGATTTTTTGTTTATTCACGACTGAAACATTGATTTTTCAAATTTAACACACAAAAAATCATCGTCTGCATTTGTGATTTATGGTCATAGCATAAGACACATGTGTTGAAAATTGAAGTCTTTTAAAAGGGATAACAAATTCAGAAACAATTAATATATAGCATTCGTGGTAAAGGTACAATATCACCTTGGATTTTTCTACCCAAAATAATTGTTTTAATAATGTTGCCTATAATTTTTATAATTTGGTACCATATTTTAACTGGCTTTTAGTAATTTACGATTACGAAATTACAATAATACATATTTAGACTTTTTTTGAAAATCTACCACGTTATTCATTTTAGTTACATAATTTGCAAGTACAAAGTAAATATTTACCTTTAGTGCACAAGGCATTGTCCAAGAATACTAAAATTAATATCATAAAAATATAAAATATTTACTTTTCTTGAAAAATTACCTCTCTTTTCATTTTAGTTGTAAGTACAAAGTAAATATTTACCTATAGTGCACAAGGCATTGTCCAAGAATGTTGAAACTTTGGCATTTTATACATTCATATGTCCACTGCAAACACTAAAATTAATATCTTCTCATAAAATTACAAAATATTTTAGACTTTTCTTGAAAATCTGCCTCATTTTACATTTTAGTTACATAATTTGTAAGAACAAAGTAAATATTTACCTTTAGTGCAGAAATCATTGTCCAAGAATGTTGCAACTTTGGTATTTTATACATTCATATGTCCATTGTAACTACAAATACTAAAATTAATATCATAAAATTACAAAATATTTTTACTTTTCTTGAAAAATTACCTAACTTTTCATTTTAGTTGTAAGTACAAAGTAAATATTTACCTTTAGTGCAGAGATCATTGTCCAAAAATGTTGCAACTTTAGCATTTTATACATGCATATGTCCATTGTAACTACAAACACTAATATTGATGTCTTCTCATAAAATCACAAGGTATTTATACTTTTAAAAAACATTAGGAAGCGTCCATTAAGCACGTGTGGCTTTTAGGAAAAGAGGGGGGTTTGACAAAAAAAATCACGTGGAAGAAGGAGGGTCTATCTAGTAAGATGTCACGTGTATTTATTTTTTACCTAAATTTTCTACAAAAGACAAAAGTTTCTTTCGCAAAATCGTTTGTAAAATTTTACATAATTAAATATACATGTGAAGTTTGATTATGGGGAAGGGGGAGTGGTAATTCCAAATACCACGGCGTATCACCAAGGGGAGGTTCAAAGATCCCAAAAAAAACGATCAGGTGGTTATTGGCGATATCGTTTGTAAAATTTTACATAATTAAAAATACATGTGAAGTTTGATGATGGGGAAGGGAGGGTAATTCTAAATATCACGACGTATCACCAAGGGGGGGTCCAAAATTAAACAATTACATACAATTTACACACAGACGAAATTTATTCAACTTGTCTAAAGGGTGAGGAGGCATTGCTGTTACAAGGGGAGTGTACAGCTGTTTTCAAAATACTATTTTCAAAAATAAATCAAAATATTTAAAATGATATAAAAATTATATCTTACATAATATTGTACATTAATTTTTAGTCTTAATTATTTTTAATATCAGTTGAGTATTTATGAAATAAAATTGTTAAAAAAAATCAAGAGAGGCACAATATTTTTTTATAAGGAGGGAGGGATGTAGTATGAGAAGGTTGGAAGCCACTGCCTTAAGGTAAAATGGCTAAATCTTTAAAAAATCAATTCTTGCCAATATCAATACCAATGACTTTCAAAATAAGATTGGTATTTAAAACTTTCTGAATGCAAATTCTCCTAGTAAATGAGAATCAAATAGTCCAGTCATTGGTATTGACACTACCATATGTAGATTTTGAGACAACTTTAGGGTGTCAATAAACAAGTATTTACAGACTTACAGCTGGGTATCTCAAAATCTGAGGTAAACTTACTATAATGACTAAACTGTGTTTCAATTTTCATAACTGAAACATTTATTAACTAAAGTGTCCAACACTAATAATTAAACATTTCGGTTAACAAATGTTGAACATTCCAGTTAACTAAAATGTCAAATATTTCAGTTAATGTCAAACATTCCAGTTAACAAATGTCAAACATTTCACAGTTAACAAATGTTGAACATGTATCAGCTAAAATGTTAAACATTCATTAGCTAAAATGTCAAAGATTTATTAACTAAAATATTGAACATTCCAGTTGACAATTGTCAAACATTTTAGTTAACAAATGGTGAACTTTCATTAACTAAAATGTTCAAATAAGCTTTCAATTACTTAACCTGAAAAATTGTATCCACAAACGAAAAACGCCTTTTAGATTTTAAATATAATTTTATTACAGAAAAATGATCCTTCTCACTTCTTACTATTAAGAATTATACCATCATATTTCTGTTGGAACCATTTCATAGCATCTTCTTTCGTCAAACGGTGTTGGAAACCAACTTTGCCAGTCTTGCGCCTTCTGTGGGCAACATTGAAACCTAAAATAGAAAAAAAAGATTATGAAAAATGTATAAAGAAATAGAATGTTTGATGTAACAAATAATAAGTTTAAGTTTATTATTTAAATTGTATCTTTCATTTAGTAGCACCTTCAGTAAAAAAGCGTGAAGATGGGTTGCAATAGAAAGAATTTGCTATCGCACATTGACTGGGACAGAATAAAGAATTATAATAGTGTCCTAATTAAATGTGCAACTAGAAATAGTACCCTAAAAGTTTATAACAATTATATAAATAATTATAAATATAGATTTTATATAATAAACATTGTTTCATTTTTAAGTAAAGCCTTTCAAAAATTATACAATTTTTCAATTTTTTATTTAACAATTTGGGAATATGAAAATTGTCCCCTTTTTTAGAAACTATTAAGATAAAATTAAGTATTTAGATTGTTATTGAACTATAAAATTAATGAGCCAATTATGCGGTAAAATAGACCAATGTTATGGCAAGGCTATGTTACAATGTAGTTTTCAGACAAAATGCTACTAAATACTGTTAAAATGCAAACAATTTATTTTCATTGATTTTTAGAAAAAAAAATCAAAATGCAATAAATTTAAGAAAAGTAAAAAAAATTACATGATTCTTACAATTTTTCATTTCATAAATCTTTCAAACAAAATTTATATTGACGTAGGATTAAAGATGATAAACAGACAAACAATAGAATAGAATCATACATATAAATAAAATGTACACTTTTTAGACAAACTATGTAATATTCATTGTGTATTGACATTTTGTTGAGTGTTTGAATTGAAAAACATTGAGTAAAATAAAAAGTGAATTGTTTCTATTTTTATTTTAAGTATATAAATGTATAAAGAAAATTAAAAAAGCTATTTAATAGTTACATTGGGGCACATCCCATATCTCAAAACATGAAAAAAAAAACAATTGTAAAAAAAAAAATTTTGTGAAAAAAGATATAGGGTTTAGTTAAATTTAAAAATCATAATAAAGATTTAAATAATAATCTCGAAAACATACACTAGAAAATTACATATATATTAGGGTGGTCCTTAATATGGATATTTGATTTTTTTGCTCCCAGGGTCTCAAATGCTTCCAAATTGATAAATTCTTTAAACGTTTGAAGTTTTAATATTAACATTGAGATAGTCCTATCCAAAATACTTATTTTATAAAAAATGAGTAATTTTTGTTGTAATTTTTCAAAATTACAAATTAATTATTCTCAAAATTTTGATTCACTTGTCGCTAAGTGTAAAATATTACAAAACAAATGGAATTTTACCCAAGTTAATTCCATAAAAAACTTTGATTGGGGTGCAGACTATTTTAAAGTTAATATTAAAACCTAAAACTTTCAGAGAAAGTTTTTAGTCATTTTGGAAGATTGAGACCAAAAAAATTTGAAAATACCCATATTAAGAACCACCCTTATGTATACATATATAATAAAATTCAGTTATTTCTTTACCTGGTCGTCCGAGTACAACGTAGAAGTCCAAACCATAAATACCAATGGATGGATCGTATTTAATTCCAAGATCGATGTGTTCTTGAATACCGAAACCAAAGTTTCCAGTTCCAGAGAAGTTGTCTCGCCTCAACTCATATTCTCGTACCTAGAAGGAAAAAAAGGTAATTGAATTACAGCAAATACAAATTTGCTAATCTCAAAAAAAGAGTTTATTAAATATTTTAATTAAGTCTATTAGTACTATTAGTATTTTATTGACTATTGGGTCAATTTAAGACCTAGTTAAAAAAAAAAGAAATATTTGTATTACAAAACAAATTTACAAAAAATATCAGAAAAATGAGAGTTCATTAAATATTTTATTTGAGCCTATTAGTACTATTAGTATTTTATTTACTATTTGGGTCTATTAATTTAGTTTAAGACCTCATTCAGAAAAAAAATAATATTTGTATTACAACAAAACAAATTTATAAAAAATCTCAGAATAACAGAGTATATTAGATAAATTATTTAGGTCTATAAAATAATATAGTATTTTATTACTAATATTGTTTATTGACTATTTTAAAATAGGGGTCTTCATCTTACCTAAGAACATTAAAAATAATTGTACAAGAAATTTAGAAAAAAAAACTGGGAAAACCATCGCTCATTAAATATTTTAAGTCCATTAGTACTATTAGTATTTTAATGACTAATGGGTCTATTATCTTACTTTAAGATATTGTTCCAAAAAAAAAAAATGTATCACAGCAAAACAAATTACAAAAAAATCTAAGAAAAACTGAGAGTTATTAAAATTTTAATAAAGTCTATTAGTACTATTAGTATTTTAATGATTATTAATAAAGTTGAGTCTATTATCTTAGATTAAGTCCTTGTACCAAAAAAAAATGTATTACAGCAAAACAAATTTACAAAAATCTCCAAAACCAAGGCTTATTACATATTTTATTTAAGTCTATTAATACTATTAATATTTTATTGATAATAAAGTAGCGGTCTATTACTTTGTTCAAAAAAAAAAATTAGTATTTGTATTGCAACAAAACAAATTTACAAAGAATCTCAGAAGAGCTGAGAGCTCATTAGATATTTTATTTAAGGCTATTAGTACTATTGACTATTAATGAAATTGGGGTCTATTATCTTACCTTAAGACCTCAAAAAAAAATTGTATTACAAAAAATCTCAGAAAACCAGAGCTTATTAGACATTTTATTTAAGTCTATTAGTACTACTAATATTTTATTGAGAACTAATATTTTATTAGGACTATTAACTTACTTTAAGACCTCGTTCCAAAATTTCTTCGGCCTTAGCTCCACGGACTGTACAATGGACAGCAATTTTTTCATTACGACGGATACCGAAAGATCTGACGGTATAACGAGCTTTTGAGAAAACAGGCTGTTGACCTGTTAACTGTTCCAACACCTGGATAAAAGAAACAACACATTAATAATAAGAACTAAATGATACAAAATCATATGGGTGATCTTGTGGTTTAAATGTTACTCTCATTTAGTAACTGGCATAGTAATTATCGTAAGCCAGGGTTGCAAATAAAGAGTGCTTTATCTGGCACATTGACTGAGACGACAATTATGGATCGTTGTCACCTTAATTAAATGTGCTAAGTAGAAAAAATATACAGTAACATACTGTATTATTCACTAATAATGTTTCAGGTAGGTGCTCATTCAGCCTTAAAAGACTAAGGCCGAAGACACTTTCCTCTGTGCAGAGGGATTCTTGTAGAAAATTCGATTAATAATCTAAGGAGTTCATATAAAGTTATGGATGCTTCATACACTTATTTAACATAAACTGCAAAATTTTGGTGACAATAGATTGAGCAATTCGAGAAGGAATTGCTGTAAAAATGATGAAGCCCTTGAATGATTATTTTAAAAATTGGCTAACAAAAATAATGCTTGTATGTAGGATTAGCAAGTTTATAAATAAATAGCTGTATTTTATATGTTGAACTTCTACCAGCACATAGTTGATAGATTTATACCAAAATTTTACACAAAAGTCACCAAAAGCATGCAGTGTTTTCGTGGCCCCCTTGCAGATGAATCCACATACGATCTTTACATAGAAATGTTAAATTCCCTTAGTTAATTTAATAATTTTATTATTCCTTTACCTTTGCTGCACGAGTGAGCCTGTCACCAGATTCTCCCACACAAATATTAAGGCACAACTTCCTAATGTGAAGGTCCCTCATAGGATTTTTGGAGGCATCCTTTGGAGCCTTTTTTTCCTTAGGCTTAACAGCTTTCGGTGCCACGGCAGGCTGAAGAAACAAAAAACTATTATAATAACACACTTACCACGTAAACCAACAATTATTTAATTGATTGATTCCAAAGTGCCATGTTTAACTTGACATAACCTAAGTATTAACACAGAAATTTTAAAAGTACACGAAAAGTTGGAAAATATATGTTTAGTTTTATCTTATAGCACGTGTGGTTTTAAAAAATATATATTTCAGTAGCAGATGATTAAAGATGCGGATTATTTTAATAGAAACACCTACCGACATGTTGAATTTACAAAAGGAAGTTATGAAGAAAGAATTCGAGCACTACACGCCATAAAGCGATGATTTTTATATGGGATTGGACACTCTAGGGTAAAGCATAGATGTTGTATAAAGAGTGGATAACGACTGTTAGAAATTTAAATTTGAAATAATAATAAATTTGAATTTGAAATATAAATACATAGATAAAAGAAGAGATGGTTTCACATTTGAAATTCAAAATATACATTCAAAGATAAAAGAAGAGTATAAATAGAATGCTTTTTAATTCATTAACTATGTTTATGTGGCATTTTGCCATTTACTTGTTGCAAAAAATTCCATTACCTGTAAATAATCGACTCAATGTATAACTAGTGGTGTATGGCATCGTGCCTTAAATCAAATTTCCGGAACTTCCCGCACCGTAACGAAATATACGAGGAATATTAAATGTTTTTGAATAGACTATTATAAATACTGTAACATTGTATAATATTCATAAGAATTGAATAAACTGAATTGCAAAATTAGAATTATTTATTTAAATTTTATAAGTGTTTAATTAAAATTGAAATCCGAATTATTTTCGATGTACAAAACAAAATTGAGATAATAAAAAAAAAATTCAAAAACAAAATGATTATTTCTCCAAAGAGGGGTGGCCAGGGAACTTTTTTAATCATTACCCTAAAATATTTTTATCTAAGATGATACTACCCCCATGGCGAAGGGAGACTACCCCCATACAGACAAATACGTAGCAAATAATATAAATATCAATCAAAAATATATAATTTTACCCCCAAAAAATTCATTTTTACCCCATTTGGGGTAATTTACCCCGGTCCCCGACCACTGCTATGAGGTAAGGTTGGATACCACTCAGTTAAATGCAGATAATTTTTTATAAAAATAAATATATATTTGAAAATTCATATTTTAAATAAACACAGTACTTTATACAAATAAGTTTGTACATTGAATATTTTAAAATTAGTTCAACAATATTTTATTAGTTCAACAATAAAATCTTAAACAAAAACAAAAATACGCATGCATCCAAATAAAATTATTTTTTTCTTCTTTTCCTGCCTTTGCTTAAATTAATGGGCTGTGATGAAGGTGAGTTGATGATAACAGGTGCACCAGATGAAATATTTTAATCATAACTTTCGTTTTCTGAACTGCCTGATAAAGTACCAGCTGGAGATAATCTTTGTGCGTTTTGCAGAGATAAATTAAATCCAAACTCAAATTACTTCTAGATTTTAATAGATAGTTTATTAATAAATCTGTTTTGGGGTTTGATTGGCTGCAATAATGCAAAAGGTTTATATTCAGACACATGAAACATGTTTTAAAATCTTGGGAAGTTTTTGATTCAACAACTCTTAAATATACATTAAGAGCCTTTGTAAAGTTTGCATCTTTCTTCAATAGCTTCAAATATTTCATTATGTTTTTTGATGGTCTGGTTTCTTTCGCAACTAAATAATATGTTCGAAAAAAAAAACAACGAGAACAAATATTTACAGCCAACCTACAGCATTTTCAGACATTCTACGACAATTTTAGACACTCTATAATACTTTCAGACACTCTACAACATTTTCAAATACTCTACGACATTTTCAAACACTCTACGACATTTTCAGACACTCTACGACCTAGGTCTACGACATTTTCAGACACTCTACGTGCTAGGTCTACATTTTCAGACACACTACGACATTGGTCGTAGACAATTAATAAAATATTTTATTATATATGAATAAATAATTAAATAATATTTATTTATGTTTTTTGGCAATATGGTTTATTTCGCAGCTAAATATTTTCAAAAAATCGATGTGAACAAATATTTCCAGATACCCTACAGCATTTTCAGACATTCTATGACAATTTTAGACACTCTACAACATTTTCAGACACTACAACATTTTCAAATACTCTACGACATTTTCAAACACTCTACGACATTTTCAGACACTCTACGACCTAGGTCTACGACATTTTCAGACACTCTACGTGCTAGGTCTACATTTTCAGACACACTACGACATTGGTCGTAGACAATTAATAAAATATTTTATTATATATGAATAAATAATTAAATAATATTTATTTATGTTTTTTGGCAATATGGTTTATTTCGCAGCTAAATATTTTCAAAAAATCGATGTGAACAAATATTTCCAGATACCCTACAGCATTTTCAGACATTCTATGACAATTTTAGACACTCTACAACATTTTCAGACACTACAACATTTTCAAATACTCTACGACATTTTCAGACACTTTACGACCTAGATCTACGATATTTTCAGACACTCTACGACATTGGTCGTAGACAATTAATAAAATATTTTATTATGTATGAATAAATAATATTCATATTATTGCGGCAAGGTTTATTTCTCAACCAAATATGTTTAAAAAAAAACAACGTGAAAAAACATATCCAGATAAACTACAGGATTTTCAGACATTCTACGACAATTTTAGACATTGTACAATATTTTCAGACACTCTACAACATTTTCAAATACTCTACGACATTTTCGAACACAGTACGACATTTTCAGACACTCTATAACCTAGGTCTACGACATTTTCAGACACTACGATCTAGGTCTACGACATTTTCAGACACTGTACGACATTTGTCGTAGGCAATTCAAAAAAGATTTTATTATGCATAAATAAATAAATAAATAATATTCATATTTATGTTTTTTGGTGGTACGGTTCTTTCGCAACTAAATATGTTCGAAAAAGCAACGCAAACAAATATTTCCAGACAACCTACAGCATTTTCAGACATTCTACGACAATTTTAGACACTCTACAATATTTTCAGATGCGCTACGGCATTTACAGATACTACCACCTAGGACCTAGATCTACGACATTTTCAGACACTCTCCGACCTAGGACTAAGACATTTTCAGAGACTCTACCACCTAGGTCTACGACATTTTCAGACACTCTACGACCTAGGTCTACGACATTTTCAGACACTCTATGACCTAATTCTACGACATTTTCAGACACTCTACGACATTGGTCTACGACATTTTCAGACACTCTACGACCTAGGTCTACGGGGTCTACGACATTTTCAGACACTCTACGACCTAGGTCTACGACATTTTCAGACATTCACGACCTCAGTCTACGACATTTTCAGACACTCTACGACCTAGGTCTAAGACATTTTCAGACACTCACGACCTCAGTCTACAACATTTTCAGACACTCTACGACATTTTCAGACACTCTACGACCTAGGTCTACGGGGTCTACGACATTTTCAGACACTCTACGACCTAGGTCTACGACATTTTCAGACACTCTACGACATTGGTCGTAGACAAATAATAAAATATTTTATTATGTATGAATAAATAAATAAATAATATTCATATTTGTTTTTTTGCGGCATGGTTTATTTCTCAACTAAATATGTTCAAAAAATGTACAATAGGTGTCTTTGCCATTAAAAGACTTCAAAAACCAAATAAATTCACAAATAAATATATATTTATTTAGGAAAAAAATAAAGGTAACTGATAGTATACGAATTATATTAGTATTTTTTATATAAATTTGTTGATAGCAACAAAATAAAACGACATTATCAATTTGTGCTAGAGATAAGATATCAAATGTCAAAGTAAGGTTAACAAATTTTCAAGATCATTTTAAAATTACATTTTAGTCTATTTCTTACCATCATGGCTGGTAACATAATAACATCCAAAGATCAAAATGATCTGATCAAGTCTTTGTGCAACAAAATCGAGCAACTATCCAACCAAGCAATTAAAGAACGAAGCAGATTCACAATTGGCCTATCAGGAGGCTCCTTAATAGACTTTCTAGCAGCAGGTTTGCCTGGTATAAACACAGATTGGACAAAATGGCTATTTATATTATGTGATGAGCGCATAGTCCCAGAAAACGATAAAGAATCAACCGCTGGCCAATACAAATCCAAACTCTTCACCAAGATCCAAATCACACCCTCACAATTCCTCACAATCGACCCAAACTTACCACCATCATCATGTGCAGACTCTTACAGCAACAAATTAAAACAACTCTTCCCCAACGATCCACTCCCCAAAATCGATCTATTACTTCTGGGTCTTGGACCGGATGGACACACCTGCTCGTTGTTCCCAGGACATCCAGCACTATCTGTTACCAATAAGTGGGTTGTAGGGATTGATGATTCACCTAAAATGCCCCCACAAAGGATAACACTTACTTATGATGTAATAAATAATGCTAGGAGTTGTATTTTTGTGGTAGCCGGCAAGGGAAAAGCTGAAACGGTTAAGAGGATTGTAAAGGATGGAGAAGATTTTCCAGCAGGAATGGTTAAGCCGGTTGGCGGGGCTGTTTGGATGTTGGATGAAGAAGCTGGGAGTTTATTAAAATAGGTAATGTAATAGATGATAAATTTAATTATAATAAATAGAAGTCCGCCTGAAGGCAGGTCCATAGTATGAGAGCACAACAAAATCAATGATCAGTAATGATCATTAATCACTTTATATTTGTTTTCATGGATTTTCTTTTCCAAACTTGTGCTTCCATGCTTCTTGGTCCTGTGCAGCGGCTTTCAGTTCTCTGTATTTCCTCTTCTCACAAAAATCATCAACCATCTGCATTCTTCTTCTTCCAATTCTTTCAGTCCTTCTATTTTGTTTTCAATGACATTGTGTAGGAGGCATTCTTTTTGCAGAAGAGTTCCGATCCAGTTTTCTTTTCTTTTCAGGATCCAGTAGAGTCCTTTTTTCGCCAACTTTTCTCAAGACTTCTTCATTTGTCATCTTTGTTAATATAATATTAAAACATATTTCTTTAGTATTTGTTTTACATTTTTAATTTATAAATGTTTTTTAGGTTTCAAGAACAAGTTTACTCAATCACGAAAGATCAATAAGACTCAATAAACAGAATTTAATCACTACATTTGAATGTTGAAATTTATGGGGCAATTCTGCCATAACAAAGAGTTGTCATGGCAACACTACCCTAAGTTTGTTTTTTTGGTAGTGAAAACTGTAAAAATGTCTATCTATAGAAAATAGATAGCCATTTTCACAGTTTCACTACTAAGAAACAAGCATAACATAGCGTTGCCATGACAACTGGATCATGGTTTATGTGTACTATTAAAACATAAAATTTTAATTTTAATATTATTAGAAGTTTGATTCAATAATGAAATATAATTAATAAATTATTAAAATAATATATTTTTATACCATTTATATTTTTTTACTGTGAATTGTTATATAATGAATAAAGTGCTGGTATTTGTTAATAGTATTTGTTTTTACCCATATAAGATACTATAAAAACTAGTTGTAATAATAATAATAAATAGTAGTCTGCGCAGGTCCATGGTGTGAGAGCCACCACAAATAAATGATTCCCTATCCCTTCATCATGTATCACTATATTTTAATTGTTAATACACCATTAACACTATATTTTTCCTCCTCTTTTTACACATTTTTTTTTATGTATTTTCCTTTCCAAACTTCTGCTTCCATGCTTTCTGATCCTGCGCTTCGGCTTTCAGTTCAATCATCTGCACTCTTTTTCTTCCCAATCCTTTCTGTGCTTCTATTTTGCCTTTGACGACGTCGTGTAGGAGGCACTTTTTTGCTGATTGAGTTTTTTGCCCACTCTTCTCAGGACTTCTGTATTTATTGTTGTCTTGTCAGTCCACTTTATTTTCTCCATTCTCTCCAGCACCACATTTTAAAACACTCGAGCTAGTTCTTGTCGGCCTTTCTTAAAGTCCATGTCTCCGATCCAGCTCCAGTGATATGCTCCAAACGCACTTTATCAGTCTTTTACACAAGTCGAAGATCAGCTACTGGCTCGTCAGTAGCGTTCTCTTCTTCGTCAACGCCGCCTTGGCGCTTGTAATCCTTGTCCTGATCTCTCTCTTTTTTAGCAGGTAGGGTCCAATCCAGTTTCCTTTTCTTTTCAGGATCGTCCTCAGTAGAGTCCTTTCTTCGCCCACTCTTCTCAGGACTTCTTTATTTATTGTTGTCTTTTCAGTCCACTTTATTTTCTCCATTCGCCCCATCACCACATTTCAAAACCCTCCAGATAGTTCTTGTCGGCCTTGCTTAGAGTCCATGTCTCCGATCCAGCTGCAGTGATATTCTCCAAACACACTTTATCAGTCTCATAGATAAAAGAAGAGTAGTCTCTTCCGCAAGTCGAGACTTAATTTGTTCGTCAGTAGCGTTCTCGCCTTTGTCGCCTATTTGGCGCTTGCAATCCTTGTCCTGATCTCTCTCGTGCAGCATCCGTATTTGGTCAGCAGCACTCTCTAGTTTTGGTCTTGTCCCACGATTCAAAATAACCGGAAACGACAACGAAACATAATTTTCTGGCAAAAACATAAACTATTAGGTGTGCAACAAAGTTTTCGCTGTTTGTCAGTCAGACATATGGTCAACAAACTGCTGCGACACACGAGTTATTTCGTTTTCGCATTATATACTTCTGGTTAAGTAATAATGTCTAATTTTGTGCCTAAAACCTCAGCAGGCGCTAAATCGGAGGCCTTGCTCGAAGGGATTGGTGTCAAAGCTTCTCTAAAAGAGCTTGCTTCAGAATTAGAGGTTACCCACCAAGCCATTTCCAAGTGATTGCATGCGTTGAGGAGTAATACAAAATAGGAAGGTCCAAAACCTTCGAAGTCGCTAAATTGGCGGCCTTGCTCAAAGAGGATTCGTGCCAAACTCTAGAAGAGCTTGCTTCAGAATCAGGGGTTACCATCAAGCCCAAGCCCAAGCCCAAGTATTGCATACGTTGGGAAGTAGTACAAGATAGGAAAACCCAAAACCTTCGAAGACGCTAAATTGGCGGTTTTGCTCAAAGAGGATTCGTGCCAAACTCAAGAAGAACTTGCTTTAGATGACCTAAAACCTTCAATAACGCTAAATTGGAGAACTTGCTCGAAGAGGATTCGCGCCAAATTCAAGAATAGCTTGCTTCAGAATTAACATTTGGAGAGCAGTACAGAACAGAAATGTCCGATACCTTCGAAGACGCTATATCGGCGGCCTTGCTCGAAGAGGATTCGTGCCAAACTCAAGAAGAGCATTAGGGGTCACCCATCAAATCATTTCCATTAGTTAGGGAGTAGTACAAAACAGGAAGGTCCAAAAGTACATTAGGAAAACTGTTAATTAAAAATCATAACGCTGTGAATCGTCTTTAAAGTAAAAAATATAGTAATACAAGTTTGAATTATTTTTTTTATTCAAAATCTTAAGAAAAAGAAACAAAAAATTTCTATATAGTGACTTTGCAGTCTGAAATAACCAAATAAATTTTAATTTATTTATAAATTAAAATTTATTTATCAATTTATGTACAATTCAAATTTTATATATTAATTATATAAATTATTGATCAAAATCCTAGCTAAAGAAAAGCTAATAATCAAAATATTTATATCACTATAATTGCAAATATTATCAAGTGGTGAATTATAAGACTTGAAACTATTTGCAAAATCATGGCTTATTTTATCTGCATCATTAAAAGTACCTTATAAATTAATTATATACATATTCATGTTGTGATTATCCATTAGATAATATTAAATTCACTCATTAGATTCCGATATACTCGCTGCTGATGTTAAATACACTGAAGCACCATTATTCTGTCCAACTTGTAAGATTTGTGACTGTGCAGTCGACCTTGGCAAAGCTTGTAAGACTATCGGTTGTGATGTGTTATTCTGCATTTGCATTCGAATCATATTCAATTGTGCCGGTGTCACAGATATGGGAACATGTTGCACCTCTCCAGAAGGCGATACGATCTGTTGCATAATTTGAATGTTACTTAAACTGTTGTTACTTGTTGTTAAAGGTGTTGTCAAAGTTGCTGTTTGTGCATTATCGGCTGTTGTTACATTCTGAGTAGTAACTTCTGTGGTGTTATTAGTTGTTTGTGTGACTGTTTGTTGTTGTGCTTGGTTTTGTTGTTGCGCAAGCTGTACGTAGTACTGTATTTGCTCAGATGTCAAAACTCTAGATACACCCTCTTCACGTGGCTTTTGGGGTTTAATTTCATCCCTGGGCACTATGTCTATCAAAAAATCAAACTGATCATTTATTGTAACAGCCATTGCAATATCACTACGCTGTAACGTCCTTCTTTTATTATCCTCTGTGTGTGTCCATGCTCGTAGAGTTAACTCGTTTATAAATATCTCAGCAGCTTTAGCAAACAACATAGGTGCTTCTGCAGAAATCATTTTTACATCGTCATCTAATTTCATAATCTTCTTTATACGTGCTAAAGGTAAAGATTGGTGTTTGAAGTCTTCAGCAGTTACATTGTTTATTTCTTCCATAACTTTGGGCCAGAAATTTGCCAAACTTATTTGAGCCTCTGTGGGAGAGGTCTCTTGGGCAGGGTCATTTCAGACTTTTCTTCCATTAGAACTAAAGAAGTAACAGGTTAAATATTAATGTAAACAAAGATGTAAATGTAACCACAATACCTGGAGTTAATCACGTACAAAACAGTATAGAAGGTTTATGGTAAGTTTGTATATAATAAATTAATAGTTAGCACTAAATAATATAAATATTTAATAAATATAAATAAATGTTAATCACAGTATTTTCGGCTTCTATAAGCTGTCAAAAATGACGCCCTTGTACCAACATAACAAGAATATAAAGGTACATCCACACCTAACAAACGCCATTATTTAAATTTAGTTGGAATAATTTAAAATTTTATATTATAATACTCAAAGCAAGACTTAACAGTTTATATTAAACAAATTCAATAATACTCAATACTCAATAATATATTTAACTAGTTGGTATTGGTATTTTGCCTTGAGGCAAGTTACATGAACTTCCCGATATGTATAAATAATCGACTTAATCAATAAAAAAATAATAATAATTTATGAGTGATTAAAAGTATTCTGAGTGGATTTATTACATATATTTGAAAACGAGCAAATTTTCACAAATCAATGTTTTTATAATTGAACCAGTTTCCATAGGACTTTAATGGTTAAGTATATTCATTAAGACCAAGCATGTACTCTATCGCTATACCAAGTAAATCGTCTAATTTTAATTTTTACAAGCGTTAAAAAATACTCATTTTCTCAAACTTTGATAAATTTTTAAAATTAAACTAATTAGTATGTTAATTACAAGAAAACGATTCGATAGATTTTTACCTTAAACTAATCATTCAGTATCAATCAATCAATCAGTATCATTCCCAACTAATATCTTTCGAAAAGTTATTAATTTTTTTTTAAATCGATTCGATAGATGAGCTCAAATGTGGATAAAAAGTTTAACACTTTCTTCCAAATTACAAAGAAACGGCTCGGCAGATCGTGGAACAAAACTGACAAACGATAGTCCTCCTTGAGATACATCGAATGGCTTTTAAATGCTTAAAATCGGTTCAGGCGTTTTTGAGAAAACGTCGACGAAACATCTAATTTTGACAAATGCCAAAAAAACGATCGTAATTTTTGCAAACTTTGACGAATTTTTAAAGTTAAACGAGTTTTTGTAGGGGCCGTAATATTTTAGTATGATCTTTAAGACTATGGTATCTACCGTCAAAAAAAAAAAAAAATCGAATTTTTTTTAACATTTTATGACAAGACGGCCCGGCCGGTTTTTACCAAAAACTAATCAGCACGATTCCCAACCAACATCTTTCGAACGGTTTTTGAATTTTCAAATCGATTCAGAATTGCGGGCTAAAACGTGGACGAAAGATTTTTCACTTTTCTGAGATTTACAAAGAAACGGTGCGGCCGATCCTAGCGCAAAACTGACAAACGCTAGTCCTCATCGAGATACATGGGATGGCTTTTAAATTTTTGAAATCGTTCCAGCCGGTTTGGAGAGAGCGATGATTTGCGGCAAAAAATCTGTTACCCACACACACATACTTTTTCCAAATTTGGTCTCATTCGATTCAGAACGGTTTGAAACGTCGAGAAAACATAACATAAAAATAGCGAATCGGATTTTTTGATGAAAACATAAACTTCTCCTTTGGGCTAGAAAATATTTTTAAAATTATCATTTATCAATGTTGGCAACAGGCCGCCATTGCCGCCATGTTTGACAGTTTTGACAGCCAATATAAATAGTTCATCATGTCAACTGATTTGTTAATTTTAAGTTTAACTCGAAGCTAATAATTTAAATGTGAAAAAATTAGAATATTATTATGTCTCAACTACAAAATAATCAATCAATTAAAATAGAACCATTGGATGATATAAATTCGGATAAGCAAAATGAAAACAGTAGTCTTGTCAATAGTCAAATATATTCAGACGACGACGAAGGTTGTTTAGAAAGATTTGAAAAGTCTGACATAAAAGTAGAACAAGAAATAGTAACAGAAATAATCCGTGTACCTGCCAAAAAACAAAAAACACGCAAATGCAAAATTTGTGACAAATCCTTCCCCAAGGCCTGCGATTTAAAAAAACACATGGTCTCTCACAGTAATGACAGACCTTACACTTGCATAACTTGTAATAACACTTTCAAACGCTCCAAAGCCCTATCGGCTCACTTAAAAATCCATTCAGGCACCAAACCTTATGTGTGCGATATATGCAACCAAGCATTTCCTCATACAACAGCTTTAAGACACCAAAAAGTATTCCACAAAGGAGCTCGTAAATATAAATGTGAGATATGTAACAAAGCCTTCATTCGGGTAGGTCATTTACAACAGCATTTAGCAACTCACACAGGTGAACGGAAGTTTAAATGTGATTTCTGTCCTAAAAATTCACACAATCAGGCAGTTTATCAAATCACATATAAACACTCATACAGGATTGAGATTATATGAATGTGATAAGTGTGATAAGACATTTAATAATTCCAGTGACCTCCATAAACACTTTGTGACTCACAACGAAGAACGACCGTTCGAATGTGAGCTGTGCAATAAATTGTACAAGCGTCCTGCACATTTAAAACAGCACATGTTGCTACATGCAGGTGTGAAGCCCTATAAATGTGATATTTGTGATAGAATGTTCAGTCGCTCCTATCATTTGTCACAGCATTTGTTGGTTCACAATAATGATGATATTTATAGTTGTACAATTTGTGATAAATCTTTTGCTCACGAGGGTCGGTATATAAACCATATGCTTATTCATAATGAAGAATTGAATTTTGAATGCGATCAATGTGATAAGGCTTTTAACCAGCCTGCGAGCTTGAAAAGACACCGGAAGACAGTACACAAGAATAATTGAATTATAATAATTGAATTTTAATAGATTATAATAGAATCACTCATATTGTATTATTAATTAATATTAACAATTTTTTTATTGTGTATAGTTACTATTAGAATGAATATTACCATTTATATTTATGAATTTTAAATTTAAACCATCCTACTAACATTATACATAAATGTATTGTTTTTTATCACGATAAGATAAATATAATATAATATAATTAAAAAACAAATTGCCAACAATAGTAGTTTCTGTAAATATTGTATTCATAAAAAATGTGCAATATAAAAATTATGATAAATACAGATAAATAATGAAAATTCTAATGAAGGTTCATTTCTAAATTCTAATTACAATGACAAACCGATCATGTCTTGATGACTTTAATTACATTATTGTTTTTAAGTATTTTTAGATATCTGGTTGTCCAAAATACAAATTGAATCTAAAACACTGCGACGGTTATCCACAAAATTTAGAAATATTCTTCACTAAACTTCTCCCAGCTCTCCCACTATCTTTTAACTTTTGTATTTCATCATATCATTTGTATTTTTAACTTCCTGAAAAAGAACTTTCGGTTTTGGTTGTCGATTTTTCTCAAAAACAGCTGAACCAATTTCAAAAATATAAAAGCCTTTTGATGAAACTTGATAAAGAGTAGCGTTGATTAGTTTCGCTCGTCAATCGGCCAAGCCGTTTCTTCAGAAATAGATTAAAAGTGCAAATAAATGTCCACGTTCTTCCATATTAACCCTTTCCTTAATATCGGCGGCATCCGAGCAGAAAGGGTTAATTATAATTTATTACTGGGTAGTAATATTTATCATAACATGTTTTTGTTTATAAAATCGTATTCTATTTAAAAATAGCTTTTAATCGATACCTCACATGCCATAAAACACTAATATTAAATTTTTTGAAGTTAAACTTTAGATTCGCTTACTACAAATCCATGAAAAATGCAATAAAAGTGAATAATTATTACAAATTTTGTTATTACTTTTGGTATTCGATACTTAACTACTTGGAACCTGACTCTATACTCAGGTATTTTAATATTCTTTAACATTGATTTATTATATTCCAAAAAGTCACGCTAATTGGAGCACAGTAAAAAAGTTCACAGGTTACACCCTTTTTCCTCTCCATTTACTGCACTAATTTAGTTGATCGTAGATAGAATAGTGCACATATGAACATCAGGATTTGATAAATTAATTCGCTTAAAATATGAACTTAAGTAATAATTATTAAGAAAAATGTAATTTAGATATTATAATTACTAAAAAAAAATTAATATTAAGTACGAGATTATAAACATTATGGGCAACATTAAGAAGCAATTATTTTGAGTAAAAAAAGTAGAAGTTTTTTGAACCATTCAATTTGGTTGATCTGTGCGCCCGAAAACGTAGACGAAAAATTGTATCCACAAATACATACATACACACACACATACATCAATTTTTTCTGGGGTATGCCAAAATGTTCAGAAACCTTCAAAACGTGAAGAAATGTAAAAATTTTCAATTTCGATTTTTGGTCGATTACAATAACTTACCCTATGGGAAGTTAATAATAATAATTAATAATTAACTAAATTATTAACT